ACTTTTTATAATAGAAACATAATTTTTTGTTTTTAAATTTAATGATAAAATGTGTTGCAATAGTCATTTAAAAATAGCATTTGTAATCAGCGTTTGCAATCGCCGTTTTGTGAATGTCGTTTGTGACATACATTTGAAATTGACGTTTGTCATTGATGATTGTGACTGGCGTTTGAGTTCGAAATCCTGGTAGACTTGTTTTCTAGATGATGGTAGACTTGTATATCCAACGACGTTTGCGTTAGAAATTCGTTTACATACAAGTTAACATATAAGTTTACCATCATTGAATGTGAGCATAGAAGCCTACTTTCATTTTATGAAGCATACAAATCTACCATTATAAATCTACCGTCATAGTAACCAATAAATCTACCAACTGAAAGTTGTTCTTGTAAACTCAAAAGATTGAATAACTCTACCGTCTCAGTAACAAGTCTACTACTCATTATAAATCTCTCATCACTAAAAATAAATCTACAATCCAAAACGCGCGTAAGTTTATCTTCTTTGACAATAAATCGACAACACAACTTTAATCTACCGTCAAACAATTTTTTTTCCTTTTTTTGTCAAAAACGTATTTCATTTATTGATCAATCAGATATATTTAGTATATATGTTAACCAATAAGGAACCAAGATACCAATAGTAGAGAAAATTGATTTTCTTAGGCGGACGTTCCTAGCAAGTAGGTATACTTGTACATTCTTTTCCTGGGACAGTACAACAGGGCGAACTCTAAAAATGGCTTCCGCAGTTCCATGAACTCAGCTAATTATGCTTTGCACCAAGGCCAATTCTTCCGGGCTTCACACCATGGCAGTCAGCTCCTTTGAATATGTGACGAACAGTGAGCAATATCATTGCTTACTCTGTAGGCTATCAATAGTCCATAGTAAACTATGCATCTCTGTGTGCAAATGGGACGTGCCTTGTCGCATTCCTCGTAGGCCTAAAAGATATGTAGTGTCGTATTGGAGTTGTAGCACCCATCCTATCTCACTTGTGGGTACCGTCAAACAAAATAAATCTACCCATCGATTATGAATCTATGTGTTAAATCTGTCATTCGATTACTAAGTTTATCACTGAAAAACCTATCTACCACAATTGACGCTAACTATACCACTCATATTATAAGTCTACCATTCACAAACATCTTTAACACCAAATAAAAATAACTCTATGCGATAAGTCTACCATTTGAATAGTTAGTCAACTATTCATGTAGTAAGTTTACTGACTTGAACTAAGTGTACCAAACTCTTTATAAATCTACCAATCATTAAATACGTTTTTGTCGTCAAAGAAAGCAAAGATAAAATGGGTAAAACAGATTGTTTGAAAAATTAGGAAAAATGGGATCACTTTGATCCAAAATAAACTTTGTAAAGTTGTTTAACTTCCCATTATGCTTTCTTGTTATTACACCTAACCAAAAAGAAATTTGGCATTTACTTTAACAAATAATGGATTCAGCCAATAACTTTTAAATATAAGATGAATATAATGTTATTCAAACGAATATAAGCTTAAACTGGGCCCTTAAGTCCCTAAAAGACCATCATCTCAATAAGGTGATCATTGCTTCACAATACCATGATTTACTAAATGCAATCCTGCGTCCAAAGTGAAAGAACCTTCATTTGGTTCTGTCTTGAGTGATTAAGCTAAAATGGGGAAGCTTGTAGCTGAAGGAAAAGTCAACTGCTTACCTGGCATCTCGAGCCCAACAAAAGAGATGAGTGGATTTCAACAGTTGTAGCAGACGGGATTTCTACAAAAGAGAAAGTGGAGGCTGCACAAGTTGTCATCAAGAGCATGGTGGAGTTGTCCTTGGGAGAAGGTGTGTCAGGCGCGTGGAGCATTGTAGCAGTCGGTCGTGACACTGTAGCTGTCTACTGA